TTGCTTAAAAAGAAAAAAATTACTCTTCATGAAATGTAATTTGTATTGTTACTATTTAATAATTTGAAACAAAAATGGAAATCTTGCCATAGATGGAATTAAATATGATTCATGTTGGGATTATTTTTCATGATATTAATGTTGATTTGTCCAGAACACCTACTTTGTCATTGGTCATTAAAATGAAAATCCCAAATCTCATTGCCAGGAAGATGTATCTCATTACCATAATTGTCATCCTTCAAAAACATATTAACCACATAGAGTTGGTAAAAACCCATTCAAAATCAAGGTATGTCAGTTTTAAAAGTATAAGTATTATGCCATTCTGTTTACTTCCTCTCTCTCTCTACAAATAAAAGAAAGATAAAAGTTCTATCTGAACCTACTTTCTAACTCTCTCTGAGGTTAACCAGTGCACAAAGATGATGTACTTATTTCTTTGAAGTATACTTACTGTTTATTTACCAGATCTCTGGAATTTAAGCACATACATACCAATAATCTTTTACAGAAATATGCACACTGAAAACCATCACCAGTCTGGTATACTTAGATAGCATTGGCATTATAGTCAGTTGGCATTATTAAACAGAGAATTGTGAGTTCAACTGTCTTTTCTTCTTGTATTCATTGATCAAAGCAAATAACTTTGAATTGCAAAGACTTTGTTCAATCTCACATGCTTGTCTGGTGAAGCTTATTACCAAAAACTTATTTTCTTTTTAATATTTCTTCTTTTATCACTAAAAAAAAAAGCTAGTCACCTGTAATAAATGCTTTATGGCTGATTTTGTTGTTCACATATTTTTGTAACTCTTAACTAATTTTATTTGTTATCAGTTATTTTCAAATATAAAATTTGATGAGCATATTCTATTTTTATCTTTATTTATATAAAAATCTTGATGTTAAGCTTTATACTGTCAAAACTTGAAACCATATTGTAGTCAGTAGCAATGCTTTTCTTGCAAGTTTTTAAAAGGACAATTCTTTTTTCCTCATTAATAAAGGTTGGCTTTGTCAAATTTGACTTAGTCCAATAAATACTTACAAAAATAAAAAAGAAACTTTCTTACCTTGTGTGTACACTCACACACATGTGTAAGTGTGATAAAATATAATTTCATGGTATGCTATATTTATAGGAAATAAGTGTTCAATATCTAGCTTCGAATATGTATAAATATAAGAAATGTGAACATTTATGTCAACACTTCTTGTATATATAATGGACACTCCCCTCATTTTCAACATGTGAGTGTCAAGCAACTCAGTTTCTAGAAACTGACAGCCAGACTACCTGCACAAATCATTTGATTATAATGGTAAAGGCTTTGTGCAGAACCGACTACACTTTTTGAATAGCCAAATACAGAGACCTGTGTGCCACAAAGTCTCCAACTGACCCTCCGCAGGTTTTCAATTTAAAGTTGTCCATCCAAGGCTATAGAACCCAGTCTGTCCTACTATTTACCCATAGCTGGAGGGAGAAAAAGAGGATTCATACCTTTCCCAAGGGTATTAGCACATAAGTGAATGTAATAGACTCAACTAGAATTCAAACTCAGCTCCCCGAATCCTCAATCCAAGCCACTATCCATTACACCACTGTACCTCCTATATATATATATATATATATATATATATGGATCAAGGGCACCTTGAGGTGGTGTAATGGTTAGCAAGCTTGTCTCAATAGAACAATTATGAGTAGTGAGTTTGATCCTCACTGGGTGCCCCCTACTTTTGGCCCTATACCACATTTAAACTATGCTTGGAAAATCACTATATATATATATATATATATATATATATATATATATATATATATATATATTAACTACCATGACTGGTGCTGACATAAAATCTTCCCCCAAATTAACATGTGAACAACCTTCAAACATAAATAATACCTACTAGTTATACACACACATGTCACTACCATTTCACTATGTATTTTTTGGTGTCTTGAAATATTCACCAGCCAGAATTAACTTACAAATCACTTTTTACTCACTGCTACATTATTTAAACATTACTACAGAGGAAGCTTAAACCATTATATATATATTATATTGCGAGCATGAAACTGACTCTCAGTGTTTGAAAAATTTTGTAAGACTTTGACAGAATAAATGAATATCAATATGAGGTTCTTCTGAAAATCCTTCCCACAACTCACCAAATAACCAAAAAGTCAAATTCTCTCTCTTTGAAATTCAACTAAACTCATATTTTCACTTTCAACTGTGAAGCAAGTTTTAAAAATAATTGGTTTATATAAAATTTTAAAAAAAGTTTCTTGGATGATTAAGAATGTATCAGTATCCCTTTCCTCAAGATTTTAATAAGGCAGATCCAGACAATCTTCAACAGTGGGTAATAATAGGGTCCATATTGGAAAAGTCATTTCTTTGAGAGCCACTAAGATCATTACTCTTAAATTTATTAATCATTTAACCAGTGGATCATTTGTGGATGTTACAGTCATGCTTGTTTCTCTGTTAATTACATATATTTATTTCTCAATTGACTTCAATTCAAGTAGATCAACCAGGTTTTTACATTGCATGATTTCTATGACATTGATAATGAATGTGGTGGGAATGTTTAACAGTGTAGGAAATTCTGTCATCCAGGCTTTTTTTATATTAATGATCCAAACCTCCAAATTCCAAAGAACAATAATAAAATTAAACTAAAGAAATTGTGGGTATGCCTGTTAAATAAATCATTTGCATTTACAAACATATGTACATGCAATCAAGAGTCAAAAGGAGTAAAATTAATGTTGAGATAAATTATCTGGTTGACAGAAAAATCTATGGTTTGGAAAAAACTTTGATCATCAGCAAAGATTCACTGACTATCCAAGTTGTTGTTGGAGATGACTCATTTAAAGTCCCCAATATGTTTCTTTTAGCACATGCTTGGGGGAAGAAAAACTATGTAGCCACACTCTTCTCTTGTGTTTGAATAGCTCTAATCCTGAAAGTTGAAATCTGTGGGGGTTTTTAAAATCTTTTTTTTTTTTTATATGAAATTTTTTCCAAACCTAGACTCAAGAAAAATAAGGTTTCTCTGACTGGTCAGATATTTCACATGGTGGTGATAATTTCTAACCAGTAGACATTTTGATTTAAATAGTGTGTGTTGTATTGTGGAATCTTTTTGGCATGTTTGTAAATATTTGAGTAGAAAATAAAGTTTGGGTGTTTTAATATGATATGTATTGCAGGTATGTAATTGTGTTGGAAATAGGGTTTATTTCCTATAACAGCGTCAGTTTGTCATTTCCTTGGTTATTTGCTCATGGATTTTCTTTTTCTGATCTGTCAATTTTTTATTTTTTTTGCTTTGTCACTTTTCTGTTTTTTCTTCCATTCTTTTACTTGAATGTCATTTGTTGGAGGGTCTGAAACAATTTTTTTAAATGTCATACTTTTAAAGTAGTGTCAAAAGAAAAAGCTATTCAACTCTGTCAGAAAAATCCTTTCTCAATTTTATTGGTAGAGAACGTCTTTCGCTCTTCTGTAACAAAAAGAAAAAAAGTCACGAAAGTTAGCCATTAAAAAGGTCCAGCACATCATCAATTAGGAGACCAAACACAATATGTATATTAGTAACAATGTCAATTTCAATGTGGCTTTTTAAAACAGAAGAGAGCACCTTATACTCAAATTTGCATATGTTATCACAATCTTCACTGGAAATATACAATTACATATGATCATTTAACTGAATTTGCTAAATTGGAGAAATAGGCTTTGTTGAGTTGAGACTTTTGAATGTTTATGGATGATGGCAAAAGAGTTAAACATAGACATGATAAATAAAATAAAACATTCTCTATAAATATTTGCTTTTTAGATTGACTCATTCATTCATTTTCTACAGTTTATCAACTCTTTGAAGATTATTTAAATCCAGAAAATATTTTTAGATTGTAAGATTATTTTTTTTTTTTTTTAAAGATAATGATTTAGTAATATGTCTTAATAATTAACCCATAACTAGGGGAGAAGATGTGGATTCATATTTTTCCCAAGGGTATTTGCATGGAAATGAATATAATGAACCCAACTGGAATTGGAACTCAGCTCTCCAATTAACAATTCTAAGCCATTACACAACCTCCACACCCAAACTTACAGTGCCTGTTATCCCAAATGGTTACTTAACTTTGATAATCATATGGGAACTGGTTTTTCAATATGATATGGCCATAAGCTTTTGCCTTTTAGATATCAATAGTTTGATAAAATAGAAAATGTATATAAAAGAAAATTATCTTAGTTTTTTTCTTACTCTTGTTAGCTGTCAATTAAATTAGTTTCCTTTGATGCTGAATAGTGCTTGGTTTCTCCTTGTCTTTGTGTTAAAAGGAGAACAAAAAAGAGTTACAAGTGGCTTCTGTAGTTCTGGGTCACTTTCTGCATGACTACACCATTAAGTATCTTTTTATAATGATGGCCTCCATAATAGTAACTCAGATTTGTGTTTATTTTCAAGCTTTTTCTTTGTTACAAATTAATTTGATTTTTTTTTTTTAATTATCAAAATTGGGTTTTAAACCAGAAATATTTCTCTGACAGAGCTTTAATTTCCAGTGTGAAAATATCTCTTTGAATATTTTTTTTTTATTAAGGTTCCCACAATATCAGAGCTAAATAGTAAATTATATAATGTATAGTGTTAGTACCACAGTGTCTGATATCTGATTGGTTGCTAATCATATCAAATAGACCAAACATTGGTATTTGTTTATATAAAGTATTTATGAGGATCTAAAAACAATTGTATAAAACAAGTTGGTTGTAAGAGAATTGGAATTTTTACTTCAAACAAAACTTTTCTACCAGAATTCTACCAAGTAGTATTTCTATTTGCTAACTTTAAAATACTTTGGGTTCATATGATTGCAATAAAAACCTAATTATTGCTCATTTGATATCAAGAAATCTTAAAAGTTGTACATTTTTGTTATATAATTACAG